GACTAATATTCATTTTTTTATTCACAATCTCCTCATCACAGGCAGGCACAGCACTCGTGTTTGTGTGTGCTGTCTGCGTCACTCATAGCATGTGCCTATATCGCGCGCCATATCGAAAAAAATTTCTATCGTTATCGAAGAAGGTGTACCGTCGATAAATATCGATACCGTTTTATCGCCCAGGCCTACTTGGAGGCCTCCTAGTTGCTCTGATGCAGCTATATTTGTAGCAGAATAATTGAAACGGAAGAATCAAACCTCTGAAGATAAACGGAGATTTGCACATACTGAAGGCCGGAGCTCCTGAATGAGAATGGGGTCTATGACATCACATATAGTAAAAGCTCCTGTTAATCCGTGTAATGCCAACAAGAAAATCTTCTAAATGACAGAAATTCATTGGTTGATATTTTTAGGAAGCCTGCACAGTGGTTTTCTGCTTGGACTAATTAAGAATCCTGCCAGGGACAAACAGCATCCAAAACATCTGCTGCTGCCCAGCTAGCCATGCTTTTTCCTGAGCGGGTCTGCTGTCACTGACAGTCAGAGCACAGATTTCATTGGCACATTTATCAGTATCATTTGTGAATAAATGTTCTGTTGGAAGTGGAATTCTTGATTCTGTACATGAGAGAAGAATCAATCTCAGACTCTTCATAAAAGAGAAACGTGTAAATTATTCTGTCTGAATCTGTCAGTGTGTTAGAATCACTGTTTTCTTCATACAGCTTCAATAATTGTGCTCAACATCTTACTCATGATCTTTTAGGGTCCTTTGATCGCCACAGCATTTACAAATGGATACCACTGAAAGCTAACCGGAGATGCGGCACAATCTCATTGGAGGTATGCATGTTTTTTCTCATTCTGATTCTCTCTTTTTTTATGCTGTTCCTTTCATAATTTCAACAAGACTCCTATTGGTTTTGATTCACCAGAGTTCATCGGGAGGCCCTGGAAAAAGGGCCGGAGTCTCTGATTAGTTCGTGTACAGTTGATGTCATAAAGACTTCAAGCACTACAGGTTCTGATTGGTGAATGGACAAGAGGGGTGAAACCAAACACAGAGGACAAGAAAAATACGATCATCTCAGAAAACAAACATCACAACTGCTGTAACTGTTATCCAACCCTCCTGTCACTGCAGGACTCCTTCCCATTTTTCTTTTCCACACGCTTTTTTCTTTCTGTATGCTTTTTAAATGACTTCGGCTTTTAGACAAACATACTTAGATGAGTGAATTATTCAGTTAGCGATTGTCACAATTTTGAGTTTTTTCCCCTCGATTTTGGTGCAAGTTAACTTTATTTTTGCACATATGGACAGACACCGTGCTGAAAGACACCATGTCATTCATCTATTGGAAAAAAGAAAATCATCTTAGTAGCCGTTTTTAATTGTGACGTCTCATTGTTGATCATAACTTATTTTTGGGCAATACAGAGGGAGAGGACTCCAATATTTTTATGGTCCTTTTTATATATCTATATATATCTATCTATCTGTGTGTTGTTGTTGTTGTCATTTAGAGCGAAAAAAAATGTGTACTGTAACTTTTTTTCCCCCAATGAAAACATGGTGATTTCAAATATAAGAGAAAGAAATGTAAATATACTTCACTGCATATAATCAGTTCAGGCATATTTTTCTGATGGTGTTTCGAGAAAAAATCAGGGTGAAATTAAAGTAATTGACAGTATGACGGTGAAAAAAGTAATACATTGATTTCTTAAATATTGTATACACATGAGCTGAATCATTTTACAGGTGTAATACCAGCATACTCATGATAACAGGAGCGAAAACTTTCCTCGTTCGCCGTGGAGTTTCCAAAACACCACTCCCGTCCAAAGCACACTGTGTAGTGATCAACGAAAGGACTTTTTCTTGTGTTCTGCACATTCTGACACTTTTACACTCCTGAGAAAAAAAAGAAACTTACTGTGTTGTCTGTTGTTAATGTTGTCTAATAGAGGACGTTCCTCTTGGAACCTGTCGTGGACTGTACGTGAATGAAACGGTTTATTTCTCTTTTGGCTTAAGGCGGCAAACATTTTTAATGAATCATACCTCAGTCCTGTGAGATTTAATTTATTCAGAGCAGCTCAAGTGTACGGAGGAAGCTTTGCACTGTGTACAAAAAGAACGACGGTTTTCTTCTTGCACATGCTAGCTGTCACGAGTGACCTTACAGAGATTTGATGTATGAAAAATTGTTCAGTGAATTTTGCTTTTATTTTTCTGCCGCTGGCATCCAGAACGCAGGTCGAGAAGAAGCCAAACGAAAAGCAATCTATTACTGGTGCGCTCAAGATTTCATTTCAAGGACATAGCGAACCTTTTATCTGAAATATTGACGTATTTTAAATATACAGCCAGTTGAAGACACTGAAAAAAAATAGTTGACCTGAAACCCGGAGCTGCTGATTTCTTTCAAGTTGAAAAGCTGTTTTAGGTCAAACGCATATATATATAAAATGCAGATTTTTAATGTTAAATGAGCTGATATGTATATTCTGATGTAAATGTGTCTTTTTTTTTTCCTGCTGAAGATGTAAACTGTTTTGTTTTTAATGACTTTTGTTTTATTTGGTGTAGTCTGGTGGCCGAAGGCAAACGCACTAAACGTCGGAGCCTCAAAAAGATTTACAGATCCAGTCACGTAATATTTAAACAACTGAAAGGAACAGAGTGAGGAAAGAAAACTATTGTAATGTTCAAATGTCAAAGAAAAATGTAAAAATGAAACATTAAAAATGAAACCAAGATGTTTGTTCACTGATTTCAATTGTGATTCAGGGGTTTTTTTGTGGGTTTTTTTGGTGGTTATTGATGTTAATTTTCTAGATTATTTTTTCCTTTCAAAATGTTGTTAAATGACACATGAAGGAATGAACTATGAGACCAGCATCATCTTTTATCCCATCATCTCTGAGTAACTACACAAACACTTGGAATTAAGTAATAAGGCACTCAAGGCTGTGTTATACTGTGTATACAGTCAGCTAAAGTAAATGCACTGTACACCCTATATATAATGATAAAGGCCCTGACATGTAAATGAGAATGTGATCTCTATGGGTGCTGTCAGTGATGTGCTTAGTAGCTGGTGAACGTATTTAGTGTCATAGCTGGTACTATTTAATGGATTTTAACAGGAGGTCTGTATTACCTGAAGAGCATGGTCTGTTAGCATTCCCATTCATCTCGCAGTTGCTCAGCTGGCACTGGACCCCTGACAACGCTGATGGTACCACAAGAGTCTGCACACTCCCAGGAGCTCCACTAGCTGTGACAGGAAAGACAACAAAAAGGGAAATATTTATGTCAATTTCATGCAAAAAAAAACAATTATATATAAATATATACACATCATACAATAGTTTGTATGATGCAAGTAACGTGTAGTACAGTCAGTACCATTTTTTAAAAATGTTTTGTCTCTTACTCTCACCAAAGCTGCATTTACGTTATCAAAAATAGAGTAAAAAAACACCAATATTGTGAAATATTACAATTAAAATAATTGCTTTCTGTTGTATTTTTTCTAATGTAATTTATTCCTGTGATGTTTAATCAGCATCATCACTTCAGTCTTCAGTGTCACATGATCCTTCAGAAATCACTTATATGTTGATTTGCTGCTCAATAAACATTTATTATTATTATCAATGATGAAAACAGTTGTGCTGCTTGATACTTTTGTGGAAACCATGAACCTTTTTTAAGGATTTTTTTCTTTAATAAATAAATCTGAAAGTTTGTGTGGCGCTGCATTTCAGACCTGAACTATATTTGGCCACATTTGTCCTATCAGGTCTGACTCATAAGGGGACGTCATCGGGCCTGTCCAGCTGTCTCAACTCACCAAGAGGCCTGCGGCTTTGTCACGCCCGCCTTGTCCTTGTCACAACGAGATCTCTGTCTTTGTGCCGCAAATACCAGCAGGTCTTCCATCTACTAAAGACAGGATGTCATGTGGCTGAAAAATGCCCAAAAACACTTCCCTGGTCCTTGGATCTGTCAAGGTTCCCAAGCAGGCTGCAGATGTTCAGCCTTATCTCCTGATATAAACATGATGCTGATCAATTATTAGTCAGCAGACACACATTTGCATTACTGATGGCATAAGTCACTGACCTTCTGTTTGTAAGTTGGTTCATTATTGTTTGTCTGGTTCAAACTGGTTCAGTGCTTTCCTGAGCACAGTTTTCAGGTCACTTGGATTGTAGTCGAAGTCATTGCAGACCTACAATTTGAAAATTGTAATGGCAATTGTTACTGGGTATCAATCAAAATTAAATGAATGGAATGCATCTACATCAGTGGTTGCCAACCCGTCGATCACGATCTACTGGTAGATCTTTATCACTGTCCCAGTAGATCCCGAAAATAACAGTAAAATAAGTACAAAAATGCATTACATTTCACCATTCGTTGTACTGTATTTTTTGTACTTATTTTTGTTATTTTCTGGATCTACTGGGACAGTGATAAAGAAAAATACATCACACACAGGCAGGGGTGTAAATAGTTGGGGGGGGACAATAAACATAACATTTCTCAAGAGCAATTTTTGAAGGGGACACAATAATACAGCTAAAATTGTACTTGTGTGGATATGTATACACGGAGGTAAGCCTTACTACTATTAGTGCAGCAGGGAGACTGGGCCAAATCAGACAACTTAAAGCTGTTGTGGTCGCACCGCGACAGTGGTTGTCAGTTGTACACATACTATCCGTCTCAGTGTTGCCAAGTCTGCGCCGCGGTTTCCCCGTGGAATTGGGCTACTTTATCACTGTTGCCGCAGGTTGTTTTTCATGTCCACGGGTTGAAGCGACCCCAATAACGCATGTAAAAGAGGAAAGCAGGCATTTGGACCAAAGCACTGTGAGGCAAGGGAGGGGGAGACTTAAAGTTTCTAAACTTAAAATGCATTTTTGCTCCGTTTGTGTTGTTTTACTACTTACACAATTATTTAAAGTATAAAACATTGTTATTTACAATACACAGCGTGGTGTTTAATCATTTTAGGGGGGCCAAGTTCAACCCTCATATTGCACAAGGATTGGACCTGCAGCTCTGCCCAACACCTGGTCATCTAATGGTTAGTTGGAGAGCTGGAGAGTGGCTCGCACCCACTGAGAAATTTGGTGGAGGATCGGTGATGAATCAAGCAATGTACAAGGTTGACCTGGAAGAACTGACAATGTTCCCTAACGCTGAAGATTTTATTTTTTCTAGCAGGACAATGCTCCATGCCACACAACCAGGTCAATCAAGGTGTGGATGAAGGACCACCAGATCAAGATTCAGTCATGGCCAGCCCAATCTCCAGACCTGAACCCCACTGAAAACCTCTGGAATATCAAGAGGAAGACAGGTGGTCATAAGCCATCAAACAAAGCAGAGCTGCTAGATTTTTTGCACCAGGAGTGGCATAAAGTCACCCAACAGCAATGTGAAATACTGTGCATGATGCATGAAAGCTGTGATTGAAAATCAGGGTTACTGCACCAAATATTGATTTCTGAACTCTTCCCAAGTTAAAATGCTAGTATTGGTTTTGTATGGTTACTGCACCAAATATTGATTTCTGAACTCTTCCCAAGTTAAAATGCTAGTATTGGTTTGTTTAAAAATGAACATGAACTTGTTTTCTGTGGATTATTTGACGTCTAAAAACATCTGCATCTTTTTTTGCTATTTTGACCAGTTGTCATTTTCTGCAAAATAGATGCTGTTTATTGGGAATTTGGAAGAAATGTTGTCAGTAGTTTCTAGAATAAAACAAAAATGTTCATTTTATTCAGACACATATATATGAATAGTAAAAACAAAATAAACAAATAAATAAATTTTGCAGTGGTCTCAATTTTTTTATGTCACCACCATCCCATGCCATAGCCTTGAACTAATGGATGAGGAACTTTTGTTCTGTTTGCATAAAATTGGAGCCCGTTTTTTTTTTTTAGGAAGTGAATGTCTTGAAATGTGTTTTAATGGTTACTCATTATTGCTAATAGCATACTTCAGTTCCTTTTTTTCCTCCCATGTGGGAGTATACCAGCCATGACTGGCAGGTTTAATATGAAGACAGGCAAGTGCTCTCATATCCTATGTGGAACTAACCTACGGAACATCTGGGTAGGTTTTTCCACCCAGAGGAACAGCCTTTTTGAAACACTTGAATCAGCTGTGAATTCCACTGAAAAAATGATTTGATAGGTGAAAGAATGTGTATTTTTAGTATCTCTGTGACTCCTCATGTACTGTTGTTGTTGTTTTTTTGGCCATGCATACTGACCCAAGTTTCCCTTTAAAATTTAGACTGGGACAGGGAGAAACTCCTGGAAGCTTGGATGTCTAATGCTGAAAACTGCTGTCAGCGCTCAGGTGTTCAGATGCCAACTCCTCCGCCCAGAGGCTACAACACCTGGGACACCCTGCCCTCACCCCGTACGCCTCGCACCACACGCTCATCTATCACCTCCCCGGACGAGATCAGCCTGACCCCTGCTGATGATG